TCCGGACAGGCCCTAGACCCGGGCTACTTGGACTGGTACCGGCCTACCTCTAGCCTACCGCTACTGGGCCTCTAAAAATGCCAACTTTTTGTCTTCTTCTGCTCGGCCTCCAGTACCCGACACTTCTACCACTACTTCAGTGGTACCGGCCTACCTGCTACTTGAGTGTTTTTCCCCTCTGCTCTAAGTGCTGTGGGCCTACCCCCCGCTGCTCGAATGTTTTCCCCCCTGCAACCCTTCACAGTCACGGCCGCAGGTAAGTACCGGCCCTGCGGGGCCTTTCAACCAACAAGTACCCTTGCGAGTCACACACACACTCAACCGACAAGCACTCAGACAGGCATGCAAACTAGCAGGCACGCACGCACACACAGCCATGGAAATCATAGTAGAATGCGGGAATTTCAGCAAGGCATTCATTCCAGCAGCAAATCCCAGAAATCAGCAGTGTTCTCAGTCTGTGTTTTTGGTGGGTCATTACACTACCCCCCTCTCAAGAGCGAGGTCCCTTCGAGCGAGTAACTCATTCAGAGTCGGCAGAAAAGGCATCGTAGGTGTAAATCAGAAAGAGAGACTTAGTAACACCGTGAGGAGTGATTCTTGCAGAAAACTCAACAGTCTGTCCATCAGTGATCTGTCGTTCATAAGCGTTCACAACACGGGGAACACTCTTTAGCAGCTCTTTTCGGTCGATCCAGAAGAACTCGATCAACGTGATAGAGAAAGTGAACCTTGTACTGTCTGTTCCTCCCTCTTCCCTCATGGGAAACAATTCGGTCTATCTCATGACCGCCGTCGATAGGATGAGGTATCATAGGATCTTGGAAGGGAAAAGTCTCATCATGGATGTGTGGAAACAGTTTGGATGTGTGAAAGATCGGATACGTGCACAAATGAGGAGGCACGTCAATCACATAAGAAGGACCAAAATCATCCCTAATCACCTTCAGAACCTGCCAAGACATTTTAACCCAGACATAATCCCCTACTTTGAAGTTCGCTTCTCTGCGCGACTTATTCGCATGTTTGATCATGGCACGCTGACGCTTGTTCATTGATGCGATAATAGCTTTGAGCAGGCGCGCGTACTTGGCATTGTAGCCAGGCATGCCTTGCGTCAGACTAGTGGACCGTTCGGGGAACAAATAGGAGAGAGGATTGCGCATCTGCCAACCATATTGCAGTTGATTCGGTGTTACGCCAGTTGCAGAGTGAATGGAGTTGTTGTACAACCACTTTGTGTAACTCCTTGTCCCACGTGTTCTGATCGGGAACAATTAGCGCGCGAAGTAGTTGAATGACAGTCTGGTTGATTTCCTCGGCCAATCCATTGGCTTCGGGGTGTCGACCAGAAGTCTTATTGAGTTTAATGTCATAGATCTGTGAAGTGAAGTCCTTCCAATCTGCGCTAATGAACCTGGTGTCCCTATTACTCACAAGAGTTTTTGGGGGTCCATACTGCATAATGTACTGCTGGTGAAATTCTTCAATCACTAGCTCAGTTGGTGCATGAGGAGGTAGGGGAATCAAGTTCAGAAATTTGGAAAAGCGATCCACAATGACCATGACTTGTGAATGTCCTCCCTCACTCACCTTCCCCATGTCCGTGAAATCGATAGAGACCGACCCGCCGGACCCATCAGGAATTGGGAGGGGTTTCAGCAGGCCATACGGCTTATGCCTATCGACCTTGACTCTTTGACAAACTTGGCATTCAACAATAAATTTCTGAGCAGATCCTTTCATTCCCGGCCAATCAAACTGCTGCAGAAGACTTCCATAAGTCTTCTCAAAGCCGAAGTGTCCACTCCGACCATGTGCCAAATCCAAGAGATGAGTCCGGAGAGGCGCATGGTTGGGTACACACAAACGATCAAACTTCCCATACCGGCGGAATACAAGACCCTCGCACTCTTGAAAATCAGGCTGACTGTTAGGGTCAGCCTTGAGCTGCTCAAGGATGGGACTAAGGTCCGGATCCTTGGCGGTGTGTTCGACCAGATCCTCCTTTAGTTTCCTTCGGAGGTCATACAAACCCACAAGGCAAGTCAAAAAGTCAGGGTGACGCGACAAAGCATCAGCAACACGATTATAACAACCTTTCTTATGTTTCAGTTCAAAATTGTACACATCAATCTCATGCAACCAGCGGGTCAGCGTAGGAGAGAGATCAGTTTGTGTCTTAATCCACTGCAAGGTCTGATGATCTGAGTAGACCTTGAAGTGACGACCCAAGAGGTAGTGCTTCCAATGTGTGAGCGCCTCGCGCAAGGCGTAGAGCTCACGCATGTATATGGAAGTAGCTACCTTGTGGCTGGGCATGCGTTTGCTGTAATATTCGAGCGGACGCAGTCGATCACCATCATCTTGTTGCAGCACTGCACCAATCCCAAACTGGCTTGCGTCCGTAGTAACTACGAATGTGAGGTTGGGATCCGCAATGCGGAGCACAGGATGACTCATGCCTCTTTCAAGGCTTGGAACGCTGTCTCACACTTCTCACACCACGCATAGGCAACAATTCTTACTTGTTAGTCTCGAGAGTGGGTGAGCAATGACAGAGAATTTGGGCACAAACTTCTGGTAATATGAGGCCAAACCAAGAAAAGAACGCAGTTCGCGTACGTTCGCTGGTTGAGGCCACTTTCGGATGACCTCAACCTTGGTTGTCTCCGGCTCAAGGCCGTTTGTAGACAACCAGTGCCCAAGATAGATAACGCTGTCCCTTCCAAACTCAGATTTCTCTAAGTTGAGGTGCAGTTGTGCCTCCTTGAGGACATGCAAAATCTCCTCAAGATGCTTGACGTGCTTTTCCATGGACTCGCTGAAAATTAGAATGTCATCAAGGTACACAACCACAAACCTGTTGAGTTGATGACGGAGTACCTTGTCCATGAGGCACTGAAATGTGGTCGGTGCATTCGTAAGACTGAACGACATAACGATGAATTCGTACAACCCGTCGCGTGTTTTGAATGCAGTCTTGTGCTGGTCACTCGGATCAACTTCAATCTGGTGGTAGCCAAACTTGAGGTCAATCTTGGAGAAGACCTTGCACCCACCTGCCACATCTAGCAGATCATCTATGTGAGGCAAGGGATACACGTTCTTTCGGGTGATACGGTTCAAGCCACGATAGTCAATGCACATCCGGAGTTTGCCTCCTTTCTTCGGCACAAACAAGACAGGTGCACCGAACTCAGACTCATTAGGCCTAATCCATCCACGGTCAATCATGTCATCAATCTGCCTTCTCAACTCCTCCAACTCGCCTTGTCCCATACGGTAGACGCAGCCCTTTGGAGGAACACTCCCTTCTATTATCTCGATCTTGTGTTTGACCGGACACTCGGGAACTCCACGAGGTTCGGCCATAACTTCAGGGAATCGATCTAATAGCCGACGAATGTTTGTTGGGACTTCTGGTGGAGGATCGTCCTCGTCAGGAGAAAGAAAATCAGATTGAGAATTTACAGCAATTACAACCGGATTTGAAGTACTTGGATCAGAAGTAGATGGATTATTCACAGTAGAAGTAGATGGATTAAAAGTAGAGGTGGTAAAAGTAGAGTTACTTACCGAGGTAGAAAATGCAGCAAAAGTAGAAGGCACATGGAGATGCTTAACAAAAGCTACATGTACATGCTCAACTTCCTTGCGCCTGCGCACTGATTTGCAGAATTTGTTTGCACTTAGAAAAGTCACAGGGGACTCGCGCATCTCATCCAATAAGACGGTACGCTCGTTCCCCTTGGCATCACACACCACGAACTGGTTGTCTGCCCACGTGGTCCTTAGGCAATGAGCCTTTAACCAGCCCAAGCCAATGACCGCGTCGAACGGACACTTGTCCATGACATAAAAGTTGAGCTCATGTGTGACAGTGCGGTCCTTGTCAAAGGTGACGCGCACACCTTTGACAGCATGTGTGGAGGTGACAACCTCTTGGTTGCCCACCTGAGTCTGACAAGGGTTCTGCAGTTCCACTTGCTTCATTCCCAGACCCGCCTTACGAATCCCGTTAGGAGAAAAAAAGTTAGTGGTTGAACCACTATCAATCAGCACACGGATGTACCGGCGGTTAATGAGCAGTTTAAAGAAGGTTAACTCCACACTCCCTTGAACACGGCGTTGCTGCTTGAGCTGCAGCCAATGTTCCAGGTGAGCGTGGAAGTCAACTTCCTTAGACTCCTCCCAAGGCTCAGTGTATAGCACATGAACTGCAAGAGCCTTGGATTCAACGTCGTTCCGGGCTTCAAGAGTAGGCTGTTGATCAGATTCAGGCTCATTGGAAGAGCCTGCAACTGATGGTTCAGCTTCCCTTGTTGTAGAGAGTGCTGATAACTCTTCTACGCCCTTTGCTTGTTTCCCTGAAGTCGGTAACAGTCCTGCACAGCATGCCCAGGCTTTTGACAATGCAAGCATATGCGCAGTTTATATCTTCTTTCCCATTCCTTTTGACTGATACGGAGGGCTTCCCAAGGCTTGGTAGATGCATCCTCCGGTTTCTCATGGACTTCACATTCTTGGGGAGGTGTACAACAGTTCCCCTACCTGAACCACGGTTAGGCCCCTTGTTTGAAGCAGTCTTTTTAAAAACATTAAGTTTTTCATCTTCGTTTACGTCAGACTCAATGGCTGATGTGGAATAGCACATATCGAAGTCCGACTCTAGATCGTCATCTAGAGGCAGATCATCCGCGTAGGACTGGTCTTCAGCCTCCCGATGTTCATGCAGGGCAAGCTGGTTGCTGCTTCCATACCGCTTGCGTTGTGGTTTTCCACCTGCAGCGGGCGCCTTCTTACGCCTGGCGAGGTCGTTGGCCTCTAGGTTGAGATCCGTCATGAGCTCTCGCCAAGTGGTATGGTCTTTGAGTCCTAGCTGGGAGAGGTATTCTTTAGGGGCCACTCCCATGACTACATCCATACAAGACACGTCGGTCATTCCCAGGTCTGGAGTGGTGAACAGACCAGTCAAGTGCTGTTCCAAAGCCTGCATGGAGGACCTCCATGTTTGGCCCTTGAGGGCCTCAAGCTTCAGCCTTGCCTTGAGCGCAGCATGCTTATCTTGGTACCGTGTGATGAGAAGGTCCTCAAGGGTGCGTAAAGGGGTTACCTTCAACCACTCAGTCAGGTCAATTCTTTCATAACCTGCAGCAACAACTTGGAGCTCAATGTGATTCCTTACGATGGGCTCAGTATTAGTGCCCATGATCATGCTTCGGTCTTCCTGCGGTGTCCGCATGACCTCGAAGTATGAGCGCATGGAACTAATCCAAGAGGTGATATCCGCTTTCCCGTCGTACTTGGACGGCAAGGTGGCCGCCCGCTTGTCCACTACGGGACCGCTGTACTTAACGCCAGTAAGGAATGTGACGTTTTGGGCTGATGTCCCTGCATTTGGGACTATGACTAGTGCAGAACTGTCGGCGCTGCCGCTCGAGGAGCTGGCACCGGTTCCTGCGCTCGTCACAGTTCCACTTGCTCTTGCCATGAGGACTGTGTTAGATTGAGAGACTGGAATTGCAGCAGGTCGAGGGTTAGGAGGGCGGGGGGCAGACAGTTGGGACTGTTTGAGGCTGAGTATCTCAGTCTGCAACTCTTGGTTTCGCTGCTCTAGTGCTGTCACATGGGACTCAAGGTCTTCCAAGGTCCGCAATCGAACCAAGGCTGCTACGGCAGCAGCTAGTCTCTCCTGGAACCGGTCATCATTGGTTTCCAGGATCCGAAGGAGAGCCTCCTGATCAGCAATGCTCGTGGCTCTGGCTGCTGCCTCTGGCTCCCTTTCCCTCTGCACGGCGTCGTCATAAAGCTTTTGGAAGAACGGTTTCTCGTTCTCGTCCGCTGCGTTGAGCATGGCCTGCCATTGGGCAAATGTGATGTCCGCCATGCCGGAGGAAGGGGTGTTAGTAGATCTCTCAAGAGGGGTCCGCTCTCTCCTTACGTTTGGACGAACACTCCTCTTGCCCTTCCTCACACTCTCAAACAGAACACCTTCTCTCTCCCTTCTCTCTCTTCTCGATGTCTGTGCACGCATCTCAATACCGGACATAGATAGTTCAGATGAAAGAAACAAGCAGAAAATCACACAGAGAAGAAGGTAGAACTCCTGACCCGAACGGCGTTTCATTTGGACTTTGAGAATGGCACGCAGCAGAAAAAAAAAAAAAAAAA